ATATATATATATATATATATATATATATATATATATATATATATACACTGTATATATATATATATAGCAACGAATTCAGAAAAAAAAGTATCATGTTTTCCAAATTAAGATGTTTTCAGCATTGATAATAATAAATGTTTCTTAAGAACCAAATCAGCATATTAGAATGAATTCTGAAGGATCATGTGACTCTGAAGACTTGAGTAATGGCTGCTGAAAATTCAAATAAATGCAGCCATGTGAGTGTAAAAGACTTTTTCTAAGGTCATTCTAATTTTTCTGTAATTGTCTAGGATGTTAATGAAAACAACTAACGAATCCGTCAGGCTGTCGCTGTGGTCGTTCTTTGAAGGCGCGGCAGAAGACCTCGAGCTAACGGTAGATAATGTGACCTGGGATGAGTATGGACTTAACCGAGCCCAAGGCAGGGGAGACAGTGAGGTCATAACGTACACCACCACCGCCCTGATCCCAGTGCTTACCACTCTATTCCTGCACGACGCCCAGAGGCAGCACGGAGGGGGACTGATCGGTAAGAGAGAACGAAAGTGGGCGGAATGGATGGAAGAAACAGCAGCAGCTAATTGGGTGAATAATGAATAGATTAGTGTGTCCTATGATGAATGAACAGATGGAGGGAAAATAAATGGAGGTTGTGGAAAGGCAGTGGAAAAATATTCACAAAGGTTTTGGGTTGAGCAGATCCCTTCCCTTTCCAGTTGCCAATTAGAGCGGCACTTGATTTCCTGTCTGCACAGGATTCAGCCCTGTGTTTGACCCCTCTTATGTTTGATCATGGGCATGTGTGTCTGGGTTTATATTTTAGTAGGCAATGTAAAGTTAAGGCATAAAGAATTGCAAAACACTTTAAACCGGCTTCTCTTCTGAATGGACTATTCTCAAAAAGGCCTCTATGCAATGACAAATCTCTTTAGGTTCAACTCAAATGTGCATTCAGTAATGTTTTATACTGTTTTGCACCAGATCCAAAGGAGTTGATTGTGAGAAAACATTCACTGTTTCGTCCAATGGCATTTGGTATTCGTTCACATTCTCTGTGACCAGAGAATTTTCCTCTTGATCATGACCTTATATTACTTCTATAAACAATCATCTTCACAAGTGTACTGGCAAGAGAAAACACTGTTTGCTCCACACTGCAGGACTGCAGCAGGCTTCTCTGCGATAAGAGCACTTTTGTAGAACAGCAGCATCATGTGTTGAATCATTCATACTGTACATTTTTGCTCTGTATGAACTCATTACCATTTCATTAGAAAAAATGTCACCCCTTTTACTCCTCTTTTGCAATTCAACTGTATTATGAATAAATCTCACACGCAGTTAGGATGAATCGTAGTAGAATCATTTTTTTATTTGCTCTGAACTTCAAAGATGCAAGAGTTCTTGCAAAAACGCTAGAAGAAAAAATATATGTATATTTTAAATATATGATTTTTTTTTTCTTTCAGTGGATGAAGTGCACTCCTGTTGCTACAGGATCCTCAGCTGTCTATACATTCTTGGCACCTGCAGTGGTACATTCATTGAGAGGTAACACTCTATCACAAGGATTATTTTACTCAAAAATGAAAATCCTGTCAGTATTTGCTATCGTGTTGTTTCAAACCCATGCTTTTATTTTTGTTGTTGGGAACATAAGGAATGGAGCTTTTTTTGTCTTATTCCATGCCTGTCAATTCCAAAAAATCATCATAAATGCACCTTTAAAGGGTCTATACTACTCTTGCACTATATTGCAAGTCTTCTAAGGTCATATGATGGGACAGACTGGAATTTGCTCTACTGATCAAAATGTTTTTCAAGAATTCTTTTATGATTACCATGCCAGGCATTATTTAATTAAAATACAGAAAACAGTAAAATTGAGAACTAAAATTACAATTTAAAATATCAATTTAAATTTAAACAATTTACAATTTAGAATTTTCTATTTAGACACATTGTGTATTTGATATATAATTAATTTTAACATGTAATTTATTCCTGCAATGGCAAAGCTGAATTTTCAGCATCATTACTCCAGTCTTCAGTGTCACGTGATCCTTCAGAAATCATCCTAAAATGATGATTTGGTGCTTGAGAATCATTTCCTATTATCGATCTTGAAAACAGTTGTGGTACTTGATATATATATATTTTTTCAGAAGAGGAACATTTTTCTGTGAAATCATCTTATCAGGTTATGTACAGTATATAGTAACAAGACATTGTGTCAAAATTGAAATGGAACAAAAATTTGAGGCTGCATCTAACACAAAAATATTGTATGACTTCACAAAACATGAAATATAATACAAGAGTTGTATGGACCAATTTATGGTACTTTAGTGGTATTTTTTGTCCTTTTTTGAAGATTTTCTGACATGGGCACTTTGAACTATATTCAAAATAACTGTGTAAATAATCTACTAAAAACCTATTGTGTTCTAGGCACAGACAAAAGCATGGTTTGGACATGATGTATCATCAGACATGATGACAAGGACATTTATTTTAGGGTGAACCAACCCTTTAACAAATGTTTTGTTCTTAGCAAATTGTGTTAATTAGGGTGTTTAGCTCTTATTATTTTATTGTGATTATATATTATTGTTATTACTTATTGTTCAGTTTGTCCTTATGAGACTTGTATGCTCCATAGTTATTAGCTCATGTCTAGGTTTATAGTTCATCTGCCGATCAGCCTTTATCTTTGTTTTGATAGGCAGAGGTCGGTCTTGGGGGAGTGTCTGGCTGCTTTATCTGCAGCCTTTCCTGTGTGTTTCTTGGAGCTGACTGACCTTCATTCCCTCTCCGACACTATGAGTAATGAAGAGAGTGAAGGTAAAGGCAAGAAAAGTTCAATAAAACACAAAAAGTTGAACACACTCACGTTGCCTCATGCTATTTTTCCTCATGGATTTTGGTGTGGTCTTTCTAGCTGGCAGAGCCTGTAGGCTCCTCCCCACTTTGCAGGAGGCTTTCTCAGAGGTTGAAGAGCTCGCAGAGGCAGGACCAGCGGCCCGTCATGCCCTTTTGACAAAGGTTACTGAGGTGACGCTTCCTCTGCTGTGTAGTTATGTCTCTTGCTGGGGGGAAGCTGATAACCAAGCATCCCAGGAGGGCCACTTTTCTTGTGTCACACCCCAGCATGCTAATGCCCTACTGGGTCACATCCTCTCCATCATCCACGCCCATCTGGGGACCGCAGACAGTGCTTTGATGAAACGTCTCGCAGGTAAGCTGGTCCCTCTAGAGAAGTGAATTATTATATTATGGGGATTTTAATGTGTTGTTGAAGCACTTATTTTAGAAAACCAACAGAAGTGCAGTACAAATTTTGTGATTGTAATGAATTCCAATTTGCAGTGGAAGGTACAAATATAACCATGAATGCCATAAAGAGCAGAGCATTTCTTTTAGTTTTTGGCCAGCCTCTCATCAGCAAGGCAGAGCCACACCTCCTGAAGAGCCACTTCCTGCCTTTGATGGAAAAGTTGAGGAAGAGGGCGGAGTCAGTTCTCCTGGAGGAGGAGCATTTGAAGACAGCGGGGCGTGGCGATGTCTCAGAGCAGGAGTTAGACATCCAGGAAAGGTTTACTGTGTTGGTCCAAGATATCTACTCATTTTACCCTTTACTCATTCCATTTATAGACCTCCACAGGTGAGAAACTGTGCCGTATTCAACCTGTTTTCAGTTTAAAATTCACTATTGGTTAATCTATTTGTGTTTGGTATCATTAGAATGAGTTGGCTGCGAGAGGTGGACGCAGATGCTGAGAAGCTTTTCTCCCTCGTAGCTGAAGTCTTCATTTTTTGGGCTAAATCTCATGTGAGCAACTCCCAGTCATATTTATGAAGATTTAATATCTAATATTTACTCTACTCCTTTTAAAGGGGTCATATAATGCAAAATTTAATTTTCATTTATATAAGTCAAAGAAAATCTGAAAATGTCCTGAAAAATTAGCTTCTTTTGAAGCTAAAATGGATGGAGCCTCACATATGACACATGAAAGAAAAAATATATATTGTGGTCACGGATTAGGAATTACGATTTATTAAATGATAGCCACGTTTTAGTAATTAATTGTCTTCATTTAGTGCAGTTGTGGCCACATTGTAGTCATTTGTGAACTAAATGAACTAAATTGAAACAAATTAGTACAACATGGCTGTAATTTAACTAAAACGAGGGAAAAATGTATCGAAGTTGGCCATGAATTAATAAATAGTTTGAATATATTTGTGGTCACAATATCTTTTTTTTCTTGCCATGTGCAGGGCTCCAAAAACATTTAAAATATATTCATTCCAAAATATTTTATTTTCTGCCATTAGCCCCTTGTTTTTGATTAACTGTGGCCACAAATGAACTAAATTGAAACAAATTAGTACAACATGGCTGTAATTTAACTAAAACGAGGGAAAAATGTATCGAAGTTGGCCATGAATTAATAAATAGTTTGAATATATTTGTGGTCACAATATCTTTTTTTTCTTGCCATGTGCAGGGCTCCAAAAACATTTAAAATATATTCATTCCAAAATATTTAATTTTCTGCCATTAGAAATCCAGCGCACAGATGCCTGTTTGAACACTAAATTCAAATAACGTAATAAGAAAGAATGATATTATAATTCTTTGTCTGACTAATGTTATAAAATGATGTCAGGGAAAAAATCAAATGATAAAACACACAAATTGTGAATTTCCCCTTTGTATCATCTATCTCTAAAAATGTACTTTATTATTTTTATGGTAAATGTTTATTTTTCGGGTAACATTTTTTTAATTTATTGATTTGTACCCTTTGTGCATTCATTAAACATTTTTTTAACATTTTGTCTTTTACACACTTGTTTTTGTTTAGAATTTCAAATGGGAAGAACAGAACTTTGTTGTTCAAAATGAAATCAACAACATGGCATTCCTGGTGAACAGCAGCAAAAGCAGGATGTATAAGGTCTCTTCATTTCACTAATACTGTATTACTTGTTTTGAACACATTCAGTTTTTCCCTTCATTAACTCTCTAAATGACCATGTAATACATTTTGCTTTCTAGTTCCTCTCAATCCTGTCCAAGTTTGCTTTGTCCTAATTTTTTACACTCTTCTTTGAAAATAAATTAATCTTTGACCTGTAATCTTAGAGGCCTGCAGGGACTTTAATAAACGCCCAAGTCATTACTCAACCCAAATATGCTGTTCAATAATATTGAATGAATCTAAATTGTATGATTTTCCATTAGGGAGGGGTGTGCAACCAGGAGAGGAGAAAGGTGAAGAGGAAGGGTGATTGTTACTCCACACACACCTCTCTCATTTTGGCGGCACCAAAAAAACTCCTCTCGGTTGCCATGAATGGATGTTGCCATGGCTATCAGGGCCTGGTCACTCATGCCAAAAGCCGTTTCTCTCAGGTACATCTGTAATGACAATGTTTGCTAAATCAATCCATTCCTCATCTTGAAAATATTGTAATTCTTTTTCCTGACACTTCAAACATTCATCTGCTTCTAGAGGGACACAGAGGATGAGGTCAGAGCGTACATTCGCAGCAACCTGCAACAGGTGAGCCAGAAGACAACTTGTGAAAGAGCTGATAAAGTTCTGTGAAAATTCTATTTGAGCCTCCTCACCTGGCTTTTCTTTTTTCTTTTTGCCAGGATCTGTGTGAATACTCAGTAGATCCCCTCAGTGTTGAGAGGATCTTAAGCATCGCTCGTGTTCTTTTCCATCTGGATCAGGTTAGACTGGGAATGAATTACTACAAATGATTGCAAATGATAATTGATGGCACATATTGTATATAAATACATTCAAACATGAACCAGTGCAGTTCATTTTTTTGTTCAGTTCAGATTTTTGTATGGTTCTTTTCTAGTAAATGGTTTACATAAAGATGTGTTTCTGTCAGGTGGAGCGCCCTCAGAAGACGAAGAGGGCAGTGTGGCATAGGATGTTGTCTAAGCAGAGGAAACGGGCTGTAGTTGCTTGTTTGAGAATGGTTCCTTTGTACAATCTCCCCAGGTTTGCTGCAAAGAGAGTTATGACAAGTGCATTTACTCTTTATATTGCATTATGAATTACCCAAGTTATAAAAGCTGAAGGCAGCCGAAATACTTGTGAATTGCAACGTTGTTGAACTAACTCCGATAAAGAGGACATTCTGTCATATTCCTTATCTTTCATTGGGCTGAAACCAATATTAATTACTAGCTTTTAACATGAAATGTGTCTTTTTCTGCAGGCACAGAGCGGTGAACCTTTTCCTGCAGGGTTATGAGAGAGTCTGGCTGAAGGCAGAGCGTGACTCACCTGAGGACAGACTAATTGAGGATTTGGCTGTGAGTGTGTTTCTGATTGGCTGTGTTCCCCAGTTGAGCTGTTTAATCATAACGTATGTGTAGCCCAACCTGGGGTACGTTTCCCAAAAGCAACTAAGTTCTGTCATTACCAATAGAGTTACTTGGAACTTACCACCATAGTTAGCTAACGATGCTTTTGGGAAATGAACCCCTGGAAGACTAATTCACCGCAGGTTCCCTTGGGAGTTTTTGTAATGGGTTTTTTGAATAGCAGTTTTCAATTTATGAGTGCCATTAATATTACCACAATGATGTAAGTTTATGTACTCGACAGATCTACAATAAAAATGTTAAGCAGCACAATTGTTTTCAACATTGATAATAATAATCTGTTTCTTAAGCCTCAAATCAGCATATTAGAATGACTTCTGAAGGATCGTGTTACACTGGTAACTATATTATAATGGCTGCTGAAAATTCAGCTTTGCCATCACAGCAATATATTACATTTGAAAATATATTAAAATAGAAAATAGTTATATTAAATTGTAATAATATTTCACAAAATTACAGTTTTTTTTTACTGTATGTTTGATCAAATAAATGCAGCACTGGTGAGCTAAAGAGACTTAAAAAACCTTACCGATCCCAAACGTTTGAACAGTAGCGTAACTGTTTAATTTATGTTGTAGAACAAAATGGGACAGTCTCTTCTAGCTATGTGAAACACAAATAGTAAGAATACATAAAACATTCCAGATAGAACCCAAGGCTATATATGAGCTTTTTTTGATTTTATAGTAATAGGAATTCTTTTATACCCATCAGAAAGCAACTCATGTAGAGATCCTAAAGGAGGGAGCGGAGCAGAGAAACAACATCGATCCACTCCGTCAGCTTATCAATCTCTTCAGTCAAAGTGCCTTGACTGAGAGGAGGTTTGTATGTGTGTGTTTGAGTGTGATTGATTCATGCATTTGTTTTGCGTTTGCATGTAGATCAAGGCTAACCATTTTAAACATAATTTTAGCAAGTATTTCAGCTCTGTTTGAAAACCTAGGAAGATGTCTACAATGGAAGCAACCTAACCGACTTTTTTCATATAAGACCCACGAGATATTTGGCTAGCACTGTTGATTGCAGTTAGCATGTCATTAAGCTAACAAATCAGAAAAAATATTATGTATCACACGCAAATATTGGTTGAAACTGTGCATTTTAATGTAGAACTGTTTTCTATCAATATATTTACTAAAAAGTATATGTATATTCAATTGCCTTTTTATATGTGATGTGTAAAATCTTTAACGCTGCCTTAAATTTTGGTCTTTCCATTGGAGCCGTGCCTGAAAATGATAAAGTTGTGAAACACATCTTAACCCTCCTGGTTCACTCTTGTCACTTGTATCTACAGTAAGCTTGAGGATGATGACCAGTATATGTGCTATGCTGACATCATGGCCAAGGTAAGAAGCTCTGCTAGGACATTCTGAGCAAAATCTTTCCTTTTTGCCACAAAACACATGCAGCGTTCAAGCTAAACTGTAATTCTGCATTGCAGAGTTGCCAAAGTGAGGAAGACCAGGATGAAGATGGCCTGAAGTCATTTGAGGTGAGCAATGGAAATGAAGGGAATCTGAGTTGTTATTGATTTAATTGTAGGAGAAAAGTCTGAGGATGCTGACACAGTTATGTACTGTATTTGGGTTCATTAATTACGTAATCAATGATTGACTTCAGGAATAATATACTTGAGAAACAGTTGGTATGTTTTATTTCTTAGTGAATTGAATGAGTTACTAATTAATTGTCTTAGGAAAAAGAGCTGGAAAAGCAGAGGCTGCTATATCAGCAGGCCCGACTTCATGAACGCGGAGCTGCTGAGATGGTCTTACAGAACCTCAGCGCCAGCACAGGTATCAGTCAAAACAAGGGGGTCCATGGAGAAAAAGCAAGATTTTTATTTTTATTTATTTATTTATTTTGTTGCCAAAAATGTCCCAGTTAACATATTAGGATATTAACGGAATTTGTTTAACAGTAATTCTTACATCTATCGAAATTGATATTACTGTTTCATATTACTGTTACTGTTTCATCATGAGATTACTAAAATATTTTTATTCTTTTGACAACCCTATTTTTTAACAAAAAGTGTTTTAAATATGTACTGTATATATAAAATATTATCATAAATAATTATAAAGTAACACAAAAAAAATGTAAATCAGCTATTTCTCACACCATATAAATGTATCACTATACATGAAAATATACTATATATATACTATATAGACAGTATTTTTATAATATTTATGAAAGAAGTTTTATGCTCAACAAGGCTGCATTCATTTAATCAAAAATGCAGTTAAGACTATAATATTGCAAAATATTGTTACAATTGAAAATGACTGTTTTTTATTAGAATATTTTAAAATGTAGTTTATTCCTGTGATGGCAAAGCTGAATTTTCAGCAGCTATTACTCTACATGTGAGTGTCAAATGATCCTTCAGAAATCATGCTGATTTATGCTGATTTGGAGTTCAAGAAAAATTCTTATTTTTATCAATTTTGAAAATAGTTCTGCTTAATATTTTTGTGGAAACTGTAAACATTTTTTCAGGATTCTTTGATGAATAAAATGTTAAATGAACAGCATTTATTGGAAATAGAACCTTATAAATGTTTTTGCTGTCATTTTGATCAATTTAATGCAACTTTCCTTAATACAAGTATTCTTTTTTTTTTTTTTTAAAGAAGCTTTCATTACATTTTTGAAAAATGGTTCCTCATAGGGGGATCATCATATTTGGGGGTTGTTGGCATCAAAAAGATTGAAAACCCCTGGTATAAGACACAGGTCACCATTCATATCTTTATCCTGATATCTTGAGTCAGCTGCATATGACTTTTATTATTGTCAGTGCTCAAATGTTATTCTGTTAAGTTGGATGTGATATTTGAACCAGGTGATATGGGGCCTATGGTAGCAGCCACATTAAAGCTGGGCATTGCAATCCTGAATGGAGGAAACACGTCTGTCCAGCAGGTAGGTTTGAAAAGGTCAGGCTGGATTACAGATATGTTTGGGCGATAACGCAAAACCCCCAAAATGTTGACATTTACCACCAAAACCAACTTTTATATAACAACTTCATGTTCAATCTCTCTGTTGTTGAATTCTCCCTAGAAAATGCTGGATTACCTGCGACAGAAGAGAGACGTGGGCTTCTTTCACAGTCTGGTCGGCTTAATGCAGTCTTGCAGGTTCAGCTGTTATTTGCTAATGCATTGTGAGACATTTCCCTGACAGAAGCAGCTGCTCAAACCACCTAAAAGTGGAGAAATGCTTTGTTCACTCATTTATCGCCGTCACCCTGCTCCTGTGTTCAATTTCAAAGTTACTTGGTATAATCAAGAGAAACGAACATCGTTTTACATCACTTTTTTCCCTTTCAATCTGTTCCTTTGCTGTGATTGGAAGTGTCTGTTGAGTGTCTGTGTTAGTTTGTATTTTAAAAAGAAGAGGACTGTGGTCTTGATGTTGCTGTTGTAATTCTGTGTGTCACAGCGTGTTGGATTTGAACGCATTTGAGAGGCAGATCAAAGCAGAGAGTTTAGGAGTGGGTGCTGAGGACAATTCAGGTAAATCCCAGACATCAGAAGAGGCAGATATTTTCTTTTTATTGACATTGATTTGCCTGTACTGCATTTTGCTTTCTCCTTCTCTCTCTTTCTCAGGCGATAGAGTAATGGCAGATGAACAGCTGACCTGTGATCTTTTCCGATTCCTCCAGCTTCTTTGTGAAGGCCATAATACTGGTTAGAACAAACATAATGTTTTTAGTTTTTGTTTAATAGTGCAAGGTTCTTTTGTACTATGTCTATCAAAGCCAACAGGTGATGTGGAATATGCTTAAAATGCTTAAAATGCTTTCTCCTATCCAACTTTAACCATACTAAAAGTAAGCCATTAGTAGACTGATTTCCCTAAAGAGTGCATGCACTGTAGTCCTACAAAACCATGGTCCATCATATCAGCAGCTGGCTCAAGCAATGGCAGTATGGGAATTATTCTACCTTCAAAAGTTGGTGGTCGGTAAGATGTGTTTAAGATGTATGATGTTACAGAATATATCTATTTCAAATATTCACAAAAATATTAAGCAATACAGCTGTGTTAAACATTGATAATAATGTTTCTTGAGTGCCAAATCAGTATATTAGAATGATTTCTGAATGATGATGTGACACTGAAGATTGGAGTAATTAACAGCTGCTGAAAATTCAGTTATATTCAGTAATATTACATTCTAAAGAATTTTTAAATGGTAATGATGTTTTACAATATTACTGATTTACTGTATTTTTACTGTATTTATATATTAGTTTACATATCTGCACACTCTGAATCACAAAGTATTGTGAGTAAGCTGACAAGTATGTAAGTAAAAAAGTAAATAAATACATAAATAATTTTCAAATGATATTGTTTTTTAAAACCAAGTTCAAGCATTTAAGTCAGCTTTAAATCAGGTTTTTAAGATGAGAAATTCAGTCAAGTGTTTTAAAACTTTTGATTGGCAGTATAAATCAAATCCAGGTGAGACGTCTAACAGTATTTGATTGTATTTAGAAGTGGATTATATTGTATTCGGAACTTGACATGTTTGAAATATCACCAATAAGCAAAAACCACCGTTGGCAGTATTGGAAGCCCACTGGTGCACTGCAGCTGCAGGCTAGCAACCAAAACATGTTTGTTGTTTTGTTTTGTATCGTCAAAAAGAAAATGAATCCACAACATTGCAAAAGGAAAAACAGTCTGTACATTCTGAATGTAAGATTAATTAAATCATTGGATTATTTATTATTGAGCTCTATTTTGCACATATTAATCTTAAACAGCATCAATATTCTGGTCTATTTTTGTAAAAACTGGGGACTGAAATTTCCCCCACAGACTTCCAGAACTACCTGCGGACTCAAACTGGAAACAACACAACGGTCAACATCATCATCTCCACTGTGGACTATCTGCTCAGGGTTCAGGCAAGCCCAATGAACATTTTTAATGTAATATACATGAAAAGGAATGAAAAATGCATGGTTTCAGAACCAGATGGAGAAGGGCCCAAAACAGTGAGACAGAGCTTGTCGCCAAATAATATTTCCATAAACCATTCACTGCTGACAGGCCACCTCCATTTTGTTTGTCTGATACTGAGAATGATGGATGGCCTCATATCTACAGGAGTCCATCAGTGATTTCTACTGGTATTATTCAGGGAAGGATGTGATTGATGAGCGTGGTCAGCACAACTTCTCCAAAGCCATCAGCGTGGCCAAGCAGGTGTTCAACACACTCACTGAATACATTCAGGTAAATGCACATAAGCAAATGAAAATGTGCTTTGTCAAATTGTAGAGATACTGACTAATATTTGATAACTGTATGTCCTAAGATTCTGTTATTCTCTCCTTTTTAATGTTTTATTTCAAATAAATGCATCTCAGAGGCCAAATGCCACACCTGCTGTGTCTGTCTTTGTTCACACACCACAATGTGGTGTTTTTATGTTGTGAAGCAACTAGTTTCACTAATATCAATTACATTTTTAATTGCCTAATTTAGGGTCCGTGTACAGGAAACCAGCAGAGTTTGGCCCACAGTCGTCTGTGGGACGCTGTAGTTGGCTTCCTCCATGTGTTTGCCCATATGCAAATGAAGCTTTCTCAGGTTAGTCTATAGACATATTACTTTCAATCTTATGTGCTAATTTATTCATTGCAAAGAAAAATGTAGGAAACTCAAGAGAATAAAAGAAAGTAAAGAATGGTGTTTTGCGTCTGCAGGATTCTAGCCAAATAGAGCTGCTGAAGGCTTTGATGGACTTACAAAAAGACATGGTGGTAATGCTGCTTTCCATGCTTGAAGGTAGGAGAATCTTATTTTTAATGCTTTTCCATGCACTTCTTCTTTTGCTTCTTAGAAATGTGGCATTGTTGATTTTCCAATCAATGTTAATATACTAATATCAGTATACTGAGTCTGTTTTACATTTTGTTGGATACACAAACAGAATTGTGCTTGTTTTCATACCAACTGTGAAACTGTATTGGCATCCATATGACTGTAAGCCCACCTTTGCACCAACCAAATTCCGAAGTCCGCTCCAAAAGCTGTAGTGTGAACAAGTCTAAGTGTCCTGCAGTCATTTTGAGCATGTCAAGTCACCTTTATTTTTATAGTGCTTTGTTTCAAAGCAGCTTCACAATATTAAACAGGAAAGTAACAGAATAACTGATGCAAACTTTAAAAATGATGCAAATCCAAAATTCTGCAATAATAGAATAATAGTGTTATTATTCAGCTCCAGTCAGTTCAGTGTTGGTTCAGTTCAGTAACTGTAAAGTTAATCAATTATGAAACAAGTTCAATTCAGTGATAAGCAACTCCACTGAAGACATACATAAATATGTCTTTGTGTTTCTAGGAAATGTAGTGAATGGGACCATTGGCAAACAGATGGTAGATATGCTAGTAGAATCATCCAGCAATGTGGAGATGATCCTCAAGTTCTTTGATATGTTCCTCAAACTCAAAGACCTCACGTCATCCGAATCCTTTCGTGAATACGACCCAGACAGCAGAGGGCTCATTACCAAAAAGGACTTCCACCGAGCCATGGAAGGTTTCAAGCACTACTCTCAATCAGAGATCCAGTTCCTGTTATCCTGTGCAGAGATGGCGGAAAGCGAGCTTCTGGATTACCCAGACTTTGTGACACGATTTCATGAACCGGCCAAAGATATTGGCTTTAACGTGGCTGTTCTTCTGACCAATCTGTCTGAACACATGCCAAATGATGGCCGCTTGCAGAATTTCCTAGAGCTGGCGGACAGCGTGCTTAAGTATTTCCATCCTCACCTGGGAAGGATTGAAATCCTGGGCAGCGGGAAACGGATCGAAAGGGTCTACTTTGAGATCAGCGAATCCAGCCGGACACAGTGGGAGAAACCACAGGTATTAAGCAATCATTTGCTTATGTGCTTTTGTGGTCTACTAATGTGTGTCTTATACGAATGCGTGTTCTCAATGATTCAGGTGAAGGAGAGCAAACGGCAGTTCATCTTTGATGTTGTGAATAAGGGCGGAGAGAAGGAAAAGATGGAGCTATTTGTCAACTTCTGTGAAGACACCATCTTTGAAATGCAGCTTGCTGCACAAATATCTGGTTCAGAGAGTGGAGAGGAACTGAAAGCAAAGGATGACAAGGTGGAGAAGAATGAAAACCTTGCTGAAGACAACAGGATAACCAAAGACTTTAGATGGTTTTCCATAAGGAACATCGGAAAACACTTAAAAGGGATAACCATCAGGAGTATCATCTCAGTGATGTTCTCTTTCTTCCACAATGCTCTGTTGTTTATCACTCGTGCCTTTTTAGGTCTGGTTTGGTTCTTCCTTTATCTGCTCTACCACATCTTCTTGAGTGGATGGATTATTGACGTGGCTAAAGAAATGAAACTGGCTGACCTTTTAGGTGACCTTCGGGATCCTACCATGGTTGAGACCATAGGGTTTGGAGAAGGGGTGGTTAGAGAGAATAATACGTGTCATACACGTGCCTTTTCTTCTCGCGGTGATCTTAGAGGGATGAGTCTGGATCTGTCTGCAGTGTCTAGGGACCCACAGCTTCTCACAGATATTTTCGGCTTGTGTTTGAAGAAGGAAGGAGAAAAGTACACACTGTCGAGCAGAGACCAACATGGCAGTCTGGATGGATTTCTAAACACGTCCAAATATCAGGTCAATAGTCTTGAGTATACCATTGTCAGTTTACAAAAGTATAAAAGATTTCAAGTCTTTTAAATAGTTTATGAAGTTGACATCTATGTCTAATTGGACATTTATTTTAACATTTGTGGACATTTGTGTCCACTTTAAAAAAATTTGTCCAATAAATTGACATTTATGTATACATGTGTTCAATAAGCAAATGTGTCCACTTTGAGCATTTGTGCTTACAAAAGTATAAAAGATTTCAAGTCTTTTAAATAGTTTATGAAGTTGACATTTATGTCTAATTGGACATTTATTTTAACATTTGTGGACATTTGTGTCCACTTTAAAAAATTTGTCCAATAAATTGACATTTATGTATACATGTGTTCAATAAGCAAATGTGTCCACTTTGAGCATTTGTGTCCAACCAGCCAACATTTTTGTCTCTTTAGTCTCTGTCCATTTATGAAATTTACTGTATGTCTTTTTTGTTAACGTTACAAACAGGTGGACATCTGTGAGGAGAATTTTCACGAGGTGCAAGAGGAGGATTCAGAGACTAAGAAAGCTTTGTAAGTGCTCCAGACTGAGGAGAGATAAAACTCTGAAAACAGGAAATACTGCTGTTTTAACAGGGCATACCGCTGATTTTTAGCTTTCAAGTGTATCATTACTCTACCCCACGGGAAGCTCAAGGAACATACTGTATGAAGAGATCTTTTAATTTTCTCGATTGTACCCTTGAGTACAAAGGATGTTCAGGCCCTGCACAATTCAAAGGGTGTGAAAATAAAATATTATTGAAAGTTGGGAATTACTGTTACTCCCACAGAAGATTAACAAATACTTCACATTGAATAAAAATTCAATTACTTTTGACATGATGACTTGTTAGATGGTATGAATAAAAAACATACACCCTGACCAGTGTAGTCTGATTTCTGAGTCTCATGAGCTGGTTTGAATCAGTCTAAAACACTAACTCTGTTCAAAGGTTTGTCAGTAAATGATAAAAAAAAAAAAAATTATACTAATACTTTTATTCAGCAAGGATTCAATAAATTGATTAAATGACAGTAAATACATTTACAATGTTATTTAGAATAAATGCTGCTCTTTTGAACTTTATTTTCATCAAATAAAAAAGTATCATGGTTTCCACAAAAATATTAATCAGCACAAGCATTTTCAACATTGAAAACACAGAAAATTGAAAAAAATGTTTCTTGAGCACCAGATTAGCATATTAGAATAATTTCTGAAGGATTATGTGCCGTTTGTGAGTGCATTGCAAAAAATGCCTAAGATATTGCATTTAAATTTGGCAGTGATGAGGACAAACATAAAGGGGAAAAGAAGCCTAAACGGAGACTTAGAAAGCTCAGCTCTTCAAAACCAGATGAGACAGAGGTCCAGGAATCAGCTGTTTGGAAAACTATCTGCTCTCATAGCACCAAACTGCTGGTATGTTTCTCTCTCTGTCTGTTGTTTTCCAGCTGCACAATACAAGCTACTAACAGATGTTTAACCATATGGACTTAAACAACCATATGTGATCTGATGACCTACAAGTATGTCTTTTCTCTGCAGAACTGTTTTGCAAGAAATTTCTACAACATTAGATTGTTGGCTCTGTTCTTTACTTTTGCCATCAATTTTATTCTTCTGTTCTACAAGGTGAGTATTGATTTCCCTGCTAAAACATCAGATTGAATGTTGTTGGTCAGGCTGGTCTGTTTTTATGTTTTTAGGCCACTTGGATTGAGAAACCAGCTGAAAGAACTGAGTAGTTCTGGCTTGTCCAGATACTAGCCAAACCAGTTTAAACCATTTTAAACCAGCTAACACAGTAAACCACGCAAACCTAGATTTGACCAAAAACATCAATATCATTATTTTATTTAGGTTTCGTCAACCATTGATGAGGATGAAGATGTGGAGATCGCTCTTCGTGACGACAGCACCAAGGATTCACAGGAAGTTTATTTTGAACTAGAAGAGAAAAGTGGCTACATGAAAATGATTCTTCATAGTCTGGCTGTCCTGCATACACTCATCTCACTCTGTTGTATCATCGGCTACTACTGTCTGAAGGTTATACACACCTCACACACACACACCTCACGCAACACAACAGGCACCTAAGTTTTGTGCAAGTACCCACTATATTTCTTATGGTGAAACTAAAAACATGTCTTTGATAGACTAAATAATGCCTTCACCTTTCTGGCTTTTGTTAGACCTCTTAGAAATACAGTGGGTCTGAAACCAGTAATGAAATACTGTAGTAATTTCAACACATGAAAAACTTCATGTTTTTCAGCATGATTTGAGATTATTCAAAGAGCATCTGGAAAATCTGACCATCTGTACAAAGAGTCACTTGATCAGTGCCACAAATAAGTGACCTAGAAATGTGCGAAATCAGAAATATTTGTATTCATTTTAGGTCATAGGTCCTTAAATTTTCAGATTTCAAAATTCAAATCAATCGTTCATTTACAGGTTTAAAAATCATTTTAATATGGTCTAATCCAACTAACTTGATCATCATCTGACCCTTGACAGGTTCCTTTAGTCATTTTTAAGCGAGAAAAGGAGCTGGCTCGTAAACTGGAGTTCGACGGACTCTATATCACAGAGCAACCTTCTGAAGATGACATTAAAGGCCAGTGGGACAGAATGGTCATCAATACACCGTAAGAGCTGTTTGACTGTCTCATAAAGGCTCACATAAGCATTTTTAAGCATTGAAACAGTGGAAATCTTCTATATGAATTTCTGCATGAACAGTGATTGTCACTTTTTGCACCACTTCAGTATTATTTTCTGTTTTCTTTGCTGTTTTTCAGATCATACCCAAGTAATTATTGGGATAAATTTGTGAAAAGGAAGGTAAGATGAACAAATGAAATATTTACTCAAAAAATTTAGCTTCAAAACCATTTAAGAACATAATAGTATGACAGTATCTCACAACTCAAACATTCTGACTCTTGCAGTATTCATGTTAATTTTACTTTCAAAACAGTTGTTGATTGCCAGAGTGTTGCTATGCAGTTGCTAAGTTGTTCTGATTGGTTGCTGGTGGTTATTTACAGGCTCGCTCACAAGTGTCAATGACATTCAGTCTCAGGTCCCTCTTTCAGTGTCAGTCAGTGGGATGCTTCCTATTTGTCATCCGTCTGGTGGAAATCATAAACCCTGTGTCTATAAGTAACAGCAGACATATAATATATAAGACACAATAAGACACGTGCTTTGAGATATCGTTCATATCTGTAGCATGAACTGTGTGGGATGAATAATGTGCTGAATTTAATACTTGGGTTCAGCCCAACTAATAATGCTTTGCTCCCTGAATGTGTAACAGTAAGCTGTTTGATTTATTCTGTGATGGCTTTCCGTGCTGCAGGTGATGGCGAAATATGGAGAGCTGTATGGATCGGCACGCATCAGTGAGCTGCTGGGTTTGGATAAAGCTGCTCTGGACTTCAGCTCAAAGGCTCAGGAGAGCAAGAGACCCGTGCAAAAGGTTGCCCTGTGAGTAACGACCCTGTGACCCCGTCTTCCCTATTTACCATATTTATTTCACCAGCCAAACCAGCTTCTGTTCAGCAAAACAGCCCAATCAGTTCATCTGCAGAGATTGAAAAAAGGATTTCAGTGTGTGCCAGATGATGGCAGCAGCGTTCAATACGATAGGCTTAAAATAAATCAAATGAATCATTCTCATGTTTTCACAGCTTCAGATTAAACACCATTGATGTGAAGCATCAGATATGGAAGCTAGGAGTGGTTTTCACTGACAATGTAAGATCCCTGACTCTTTGAACACTCAACATATTAGACCTGAAGGAACTGGTCAAGTCTGAAATGAAATTGTGTTTTTCTTTCTCTCAGTCCTTCCTTTACCTGGCCTGGTATATGTTTGTGTCAGTTCTGGGTCATTATAACAATTTCTTCTTCGCTGCCCACCTGCTAGACATCGCCATGGGCTTCAAAACGCTGCGCACCATTCTGTCATCTGTTACACATAATGGCAAACAGGTAATACATTCAGTTTATGTTTGTGTGTCTATACAAAGGCCCCAAAATGTATTTAGACCCTCAAGTCACTTAAAAAATATGAATGTCATTGTAATAAATAAAACATATATACTAGACTTAACTGGTCAAATTAAATTTTTATTTATTAAAAAAAAAATCAAAATCTCACTGACGTCAAATGTTTGAACAGTAGTATATATTTCAGCTGGTTTTGACAGTGGGATTGTTGGCTGTGGTTGTGTATCTCTACACCGTGGTTGCCTTTAACTTCTTCCGCAAATTTTACAACAAAAGCGAAGACGGTGAACCAGTGGATATGAAATGTGATGATATGCTCTCAGTGAGTATCCCTCTTTTATCATTAACTTAAACTAATGTTCAAAGGTTTGAGGTTTATTTTTTTAATGAAGTCCTCATGCTCACCAACGCTGCATTTATTTGATCAAAAATACAGTAAAAACAGTAATATTGTAAAATATTACTACAATTTCAAAGGTAATTTATTCCTGTGATGGCAAAGCTGAATTTTCAGCAGCTGTTTCACATGATCCTTCAGAAATCATTCTAATACGCTGATTTGGTGCTCAAGAAACATTTCTTATTATTATCAATGTTTGAAAACAATTGTGCTGCTTAATATTTTTTTGTGGAAACTGTGGTACATTTTTTCATGATTCTTTGATGAACAGAAGGTTCAAAACCAACAGCATTTATTTGAAACAGAAATCTTTTGTAACATTATAAATGACTTTACTGTCACTTTTAATCAATTCAATGCATCCTTGCTGAATGAAAGCATTTATTTCTTTCTATTGTGACTGTGCAGGAATAAAGCAAAAACGAGTGACTAAATCTGTAAATATTAATGTTCATGTGTGCGTAGTGTTACATGTTTCACATGTACGTTGGCGTGCGAGCTGGAGGAGGGATTGGAGATGAAATCGAAGACCCGGCCGGTGACGAGTTTGAGTTCTACCGTATCATCTTCGACATCACTTTCTTCTTCTTCGTCATCGTCATCCTCCTTGCCATCATTCAGGGTAAGAGACCGAAATTGCGAATAACACTTGAAATAAATGATATGTGCACCAAATTTCAATAAGGACAATGAGCCGAAGTGTTCGGTTTGAATTGTTTAGTTTGTCCTCTAACACTAGTCATGCTGAGTAGCACTGGAGAGCTTCATTAAAAAGATCACGCTCTCACATGTTGAGAGGGGTTTATGGGAAGAGATCTGAGGACTGTATGATGCTAGAGGATTGTCTTATGCCTGGGGTGGAATGATACTCAGGATTCAAATGTTTGGCGTAAGCTTAATTGTGTTTGTGACTGGTCTGTTGTCATCATCTGAAAGGTCTGATCATTGATTCATTTGGCGAGTTGAGAGACCAGCAGGAGCAGGTTAAAGAGGACATGGAGGTGAGTTTTCACATTAACATCCTGAATCCATTCAGATTTATGACGTCTGTCATCTTTTGTTCCTATTAACACACTAAATTATTCATATTTTATTTCTCTGTGAGTAAATACGTCATTAATCTATGTCAGCCGCTCTTCGGTGTAGCTGTGGGTTTTATGCTAATTGATCATGAATAATTAAACAGTGAATGTGGCGTCTGATTTTTTCCTGCAGACTAAGTGTTTTATCTGTGGCATTGGGAGCGAGTATTTTGACACGGTGCCCCATGGCTTCGAGTCGCACACGTTGCAAGAGCACAACCTGGCCAACTATCTGTGAGTACAAGAGACGTTAAAAACAGGTCAGAGATCAGTAATGCCTCTTTTCCATCATCCTTTTTTTCAGTCACAATTTTAAAGGCAGTATTCTGGTGGAAAATGAGTCTGTTGAGCAGCTGGTCAGGACAGAGAGCTAGTCTCATGTAGCCAGACCTTCATACTGATGGCAGAAGGTCTGGTCTTCATCGCAGCTTTTATTGGCCAAGTTCCGCCCAAGAGGACGTCTGATTGACATGTAAAGCTACCGCTCACAGTTGTAAAGTCAATGTCCCTACAATACCAGGCCGGAGTGTAATTCAGGATCGTCATACAAGTTTACTGCAACAATGGTGCTGAGAACTTCACATACATTTGAAAATCCAGCATTTTGGTCCTGATAAGCGAGCATTGTCACAGTTGTAATCACGACAGCTTTGTTTCCAGGCGGACTTGCTAAAGAGCGTGACACATAATCTTCTGGAAATCCTGTAGAATTCAACCAATCAGATTTTGACTTTGAAATTCCAGAAGTTTCTCCCATTTTGTGTTGTTCAGCCAACAGTCTGTAGATGGGATGTCTAAGGCTGAGATTAACAGAAAGCATGTCATGTTACTAGAAAATACTGTGATGCGGGGTAAAATGGAATACTTGTTTCCTTTTTTGCTGAAAAAAATTACATTTGTTTTGTGTTTTGTTTGCCATTTAGGTTCTTTCTGATGTATCTCATCAATAAGGATGTCACAGAACATACCGGACAGGTACAGCTTGCCATGAACCTTTATTGAAAAGAGATATTTGGACAATTTCAGAGTGAAAGATGCGTGCTTAATAATACATTCAAATGTGAAACCACTGACAAATGAACCTTGAGATACACTATATATTATAAAATGAACTGTGACTGCTGCACTTTGTAACACAACAGGAATCATACGTGTGGAAGATGTTCCAGGAACGCTGCTGGGAGTTCTTTCCTGTTGGAGACTGTTTCCGGAAACAGTATGAGGGTCAACTCAGCTGAAGAATTCCATGTCTGTAATGTTTCCTCTGATAATTAGAAGCTGGTGTGTGACTCAGTACTGTTTTGAATGCTTATTTTTTCAACACCACATATTTATTTTAGTAATATATTGTATTGTTGAATTTAAGAAACCAAGTTGATGCTGCACTTTTTGGACATATAGAATGCAATTTTATGTAATCTGTCACTTTGGATTGAATGCAAGTAGTATAAATGAAAATGTGGTATTTCTTTAGCTTGAAACGTTACAGAACCCATGTAAATGTTCACAGTTAACCAACATTAAACTGAAAATATTAGTAAACTGCTAGATTTGTAAATCTTTGGTATTTGTATTGATATATCATTCATGACTGTAACACAAACAGTGCAGGGCGATTAGGTTAATAAAGTTTTTGCACTCATTTGCACTTCAGTTATTTTTTAATCAGTATTCTTGTTTTCCAGTCAAAATATCTAAACATTCTTAAAATATATACTGTAAGTGTATTCAATTGTTTGCCTCTTACATCCCTTTCTCTTTACTTGCTTATCTTTTCATCCACCGTCAGCCTTCTCCCGTTCCTCACCTTATTTTCAAAAAGCACTCCATCCTCTCCGCTTCTCATCTCTCTCACCTCCTGTCTGTGTGTCTGTCTCTCTCTCTGTCTTCTGTGTGAGAGGCAGCACTCAGCTCCTGAGCGTGAAATTAAACGCCAGCCCACATCACATGCAGCTGGTCGAGTTTTTGCCGCTGCAGGGCATGACGCATTGATCTCCAGCCATTCCAGAGGTGCTGGTAAAGCGTTAACCCCCCTCTACGAGAGCGTTGCGCATTCCTGCTGCTGTTAGCCATATTACAAAAACAAAGGACAAAACTGATTACCATTATCTGTAATAGAAGGAGAAAAAATGAAAGAAAAAGCATCAGCAGTACTGCAATAACCTTGGTATTGCAGTGCTGCTATTTCATTTTTTATATAAGATAATATATATTCCATAATAATTATATAGAAATGTTATAGTTTATTTAAATTTAAATGTATATATTATTAATTTGTAGGAATGACCTTTTTATGATTATGGAGTACTTTTTCTTAAATCATGAAGTATCAGATGAAACACACATTTGTGTGTCATTTTTGGAAAGGATGGCCTGTTTGTGGTTGACTGTGATGGCCACCCAGGAATGTGCAGGAGTGAACAGAGGTATCGATGATGGATGGTAGAGTCAGGGCTCTCGCAGCTCGCACAGCTCTGACTACACTGTAATCTAGAGCATGTTGGTGGTTTTAATTGAGAGTAATGGTGGAGAGAAGGTTGACTGAATAGGGTAGGTTGAGGAGAACAGACACAGAAGAGCTGGACCCTGGATGCCAGAGCCAGTGTCCAAATTGACCACATTTTGCATATTTCCACCAAAGAAAAAGCAGTTCTGTCCCCGAAAAATTGTCTATTTGGGAAATGTTCTTCTCAGATTCTACCGTCATGACCTTTGGGATAAAACAACCCTCCCATTTGAGAATGCTGAATCCTTTAGGTACTGAATGTCGGGCTGAAAGGTCAATCGATTTTTGTCTGAGATCGTGATGCTGCAAGGAAGTGTAATTTATTATACTGGGGTTTTAAATGATGAGACATTTAATAGATAACAAATTATTTTTATTATATATTTAATTTAAAGGTTTAATTTTGTCATTTTTTAATTTAATTTTATATATAAATAAAATTTTATTTTATATGTATTTTTATTTTATTATTGTTATATATGATTTTATACATTATAAATTTTTTCAGATATACAATATTTGTTTTTTTTAGATATACAGTGAGCCCAAAAAGTATCTGGACAACTTAATGTATGACAGCATAATATAACAAAACATCTAACAAAGTGGCAGAAATTCTATAAATATATACAACACAGATATACAGATACACGTTTCAAGTAAATTTGTGTTTTTAAAACATAAAAACATAACAAAAATGTATTTTATAACATCATAATATTTTCTAATATATTAAATATAGATTGTTAAAAATTCCCATACAGCAAAATGTTTTTGTATATATTTATGTAAATATCCATATGCAGTATTTTTTTAAGAAATGATTTCTTGCCTAACACGTGTAAACATATAACACGTTTGAAAAATGTTATTTAAAAAATGCAACATTAATGAATCCTCCTCAATCTAGTTTGGATCTCTAGGTGATTCCATCAACATTTAGACTAATTGTAGGCTCTCCTGTAAGATTGGAAATGTATTTTCTTGCCCCTGAAATACATTTTGAAAAATATATTTTGGTATAGGAATGTTGAAACTAAATGTAGGTTTATTTCATTTCATTTAACACCATTGTTTACAACATTTATTTAACATATATAGTAGGCGATTTTAGATATATTTTGGCCAGAAAATATGTATATTTTTCTGTATGGGTTATTAAAAAAAAAACGGAGCCACTGAATATACAAATGCAGAGTGGGCATGAACTTTTTGAGGAGACTCTCACCTTCATCATCCATTTCAGCACTGCAGCTCATTATATATTGAGCATGTGATTTATTTGCAAGCTCTTATGAGAGTTAGAAGGACTTTATAAAGAACAAACATTCAGCTGTGCTTCTTTCTGAAGCAGCTGCTCCAGTTCTCCAGCAGAATGAAGTGCTGGCTTCATTTATATCAGTGTCAAACTCAAGCACGTCATTACGGCTCCTGACAATCTAGCTGGTTTGTAAACACTTCATAAACCACTCGCTATTTCACAAATTATGTTTGTTCTATGACCTACCCTACTAAGAATTGTTTTGGCTCTTTGCTTTATCAAAGCAACAGCATGTGAGCTTGTAGGTTGAGAGGGACATGGCGTATTTGGGCTATCAGAGCTCATTATGAATTCTTCACATGGGTAAATTAATTACTGAGGGAATTATGAAGTCGAAGTAGTTTATCAACAGACCCTTCACATGAAATTAATTACTGTGTGTTTGTGTGTGTTTGCATATTTGCCTTCGGCACCGGAAATCAGAAGTAAATCCTGAAGGAGGCTCACTTCTTTCACATCTCGCTTCTCATTTTTCCTTTTTCTCTGTCTCTTTTGTGTCAGTCTCCTGAGTTTTCTTTATTCCTCTCAGGATCCATCATCTCAGTCTGCAGAGCTGACCAGAGAAAATACAGAAAGAATATACAAAAATGCACTGAATACAAACATATAGAACCAGTAACACATCACAGACTGGCAAAGCAGTTACGAGGACAAAATGTCAAGGACATGAACAGTCACAGAGAACAGCAGAGAGAGAAAAAGTTACTGCTTTCAAAGGAAAAAAAGCTTTGTGTTTGTGCATGTGATAGAGAAAGATGCATGTTTTTGCAAGCACTTAACTAATCCATGACCATAAACAAAATCACTTATTATGACCCCATTTATACAGTCCAAAAGTTTTCTTTCTGTTCCTGTGCATTTCACTTCTGCTGTATGTTTACTAATCTAGTTTGTACTAAACTTTGTTTGGCATTGTGCAATAGGAATATTGTTGGCTCTATGACAAACTGCTTGTGATGTTCCTCATTTGTAAGTCACTTGGGATAAAAGCATCTACTAAATGGATGAATGTAAATTTTGACAGAGAGGGAGAGTTAGTGGAAATATTCAACATTTCATCCCACAATCTAAACAATATATATATATTTATGTTATGAATTTGCTCAAAATCTCACTACTTAATTGCTTTGTATGAAAAAAGGTTAAAGCAACATTTATTATCGTCATGCATCATGATAGTATGTAGTGGATATTAGGGATTGTCATTTTTATTTTATATTTAATTTATTAAACCTTTATTTTATTTTACGACAAGTTTTATCACTCACAAGGGATTATCGGTGTTTTATTTCATATTTAATTTCTTAAATCTTTTTTACAAACTTTTATTTTATTAGTTTATTTTATTTGGAGACAGGTTTGATCACTCACTATTATTGGTTTCTTGTTTCATATTTAATTTCTTAAATTTTTTTTTTAAATATTTATTTTATTTTATTAATTTTATTTTAGGACAGATTTTACACTCACGATTATCAGTTTCTTATTTCATATTTATTTTTTTTAAACATTCAAAATATATTTTATTTTATTTTAGGACAGGTTTTTATAACTCACAAGGGATTATCAGTTTCTTGTTTCATATTTAATTTCTTAAAACCTTTTTTTTTTTTAATTTTTGGCAGGTTTTTTCACGCTAGAAATGTTCCTCTGTGCTGTTTTGTCAGCTGAAAAATGTATGCCTCAAATTTAAGACGACAGCATTACAAAAAGGCTCCTGCGATCCTTAATGACAAATGCACCCCAATTACACCCCTCTGGCTTCATGTATTTATTTCTTTATAACATCTGTTATGTTGTACCGAGTTTATGTATGACTCTAGCAGAACAGAATTTGTTCCTGAAGCTGCTTCTGAGGCTACATCCACTCTCATGTTTAATATGACATCGAATTGACTTTTCATGCTCCTTTGCTGCTTAATATGGCTCTCTGCACTCCGTTTGGCACTGAAGCGGGGGAATTTAACTGTCACTTTGAGCTTGACAGTTAAATGGCACCACAAGTTGAAAAATGTACGATTTCGATTGAGTCATTTCGCAGATATCCTTGCTGAAAGTAACATTTAAAAAGTTGATACTGGTAATGGGATGCCAGATGCATTACGGTTGAGCTATGTGGCATCCAAGGTCACATCCACCTGGCATATTATCACAAAATAAGCATTGAAAAATGGAGCGTTGAATATCTGATGACAAAAAACATTCATTCCAAAGAGAAGGACACTGCTTCAACCCTTTCATTTTTCAAAATAGGCAACAGAGAGGATTTAAAGTATGTCCAGTCAACCTTCCTGTTGAGACATGTCACCAGATTTCAACAAAGACTCATTTAAACATTCGCCCTATACATGGCCAAAAACACAAAGTGACATTTGGATTCATTGAAAGAGCCTCCAAGTTCAGTGCCATATGAGAAGATGAAGTGAATTGAATTGAATGGACGTGGACATTTAGACTTTTTCAAAATATTTTCATCTCTCTTCCACAGATAAAAGAAGGTCATGCAGGTTTGGAACGATGTAAGGGTGAGTAAATATTGACAAAATTTTTAT